AATCTTCAGTACGCTGACCGAAAGATAATTGGGTTTTAGAGGAGAGCGATGCTTTAAATTTCTTGTAAAAACACTTGTTTTGAACTTAAATGGCAAAATTTAAAACGAAAATTGTCTGATGTGGCCTGATTCTTATTAACATTTTTGTACCACCTTGTCCCGGGCACATTATTTTTATCTAATTGCGTCCTACTGAATTGCCGGTCTCAGTATGTGGACGCTTAATTTCTATTAACGTTCACAAAACACATTTTTTTCATTTGCAACTTTCGTGTTATGTAACGCTTACTTAAATTTGCCTTCAATTCAAAAATTACCAAATTTTAATATTTGTAATATAACGTATTAAATTGAGAAGTGTAATTTATATATTTGCATGTCTCCACGATGTTTTTTGCCAAAATTAATGATTATATTTTAAAAAATCTAATTGCAAATTCGCAGTGTTCCCACGCACGTATAATGTCCTTTACTTAAGTTAAAATCTATTGTCTTAATCTTGTCTTTTATTTTTTTGGGAGAAAATTAGGAATTTATAGCGCTTGGCAACATTTGTTTAGACCTGATGTGAAAACTTTAGAATGCTGAATTTCAAGATTAATGCTTAAACTCCTGGTTTTACTAAACCCGAGTTTATTTTAAAACGCGTTCGATATTCAAGAAAGAAGTTAAAATTTTAAACAATCAGCGTGTCATGTTAAGTTGTACTCTTTAACTATTGAAAAACCGATTTTGATTTCTGGTGTTGATGGTGTCATATCAATTGAACTATACATCGATTGAACGAACGTAAGTTTTGGATTAATGTTTATTAAAACTAACGTTCAAAATGACAATAGTCCCAAAATATTTGTTTAAAATAATTTTATATTAACATGATTAAATCTATATTTGTTTAAATGCCGGCTTGTAAACACCTTACTTTAATTCAATCGGATATTAGTCCAATCGATATAGCATTGTATCTGTAATTGTTATCAAACGAGACAGTAGAAATATCCAAAAGAGAGGATAAAGAAAAAAAATCAGAAGTGTTTACATTGGATAATCAGATTAAGCGATCGTGATTAAGGATATCTCATTCTAAAGTTTTCAGCTCTGGTTATATATAATATAGTGCACACATTTGGTTTAAACTAAACTATAAAACAAACCACTTAGCTAAACAACTAACAGATAAAGGACTTATTAATATATAGAAATTAGTTATTTAGTAGATAGATAAACAGATAGATAAACAGATAGATAAACAGAAAGATAAATATATAGATAATCAGATAGATAAACAGTTATATAAACAGATAGATAAATATATAGATAAACAGATAGATAAACAGTTACATAAACAGTTAGATAAACAGATAGATAAATATATAGATAAATATATAGATAATCAGAGAGATAAACAGATAGATAAACAAATAGATAAACAGATAGATAAACAGTTAGAAAAACAGAAAGAAAACATAAAAAAATAAAATTCTTAAATAAAAAATTTGTTTTTAAAGATTTGTCACATTTTGAAATTAAAAGATGAAATAAAATGAATTTCTGGTATCATATTTCCCCTACCCCCCTCGGACTCGGCCCACCTTTTTACACTCGTTCTGTAATTTTGTAAGATTGAGAGTTAGAGCTAAAAAGAATATGATAATATCGACCTTTAATCTAGCAAGGATGCATTCGGATAAATATACTAGATGCTAAATTCAGTATACAGGGTGAGTCACTATATGTTACAGTAATAATTTCAAAAATTAAAAACAAAACTACTAAATACAGATAGAAAACTGATTATTTTGGTTTTAATTATTGACGCTGAAACTTGGACTAGCTTGTCAAGTGACAGCCTATCATTGACCCGCTTTATTATCAATGATCATGAGATACCATTATTTATTATTGCAAATAATTGATTATTTTTAATTATTTTTTATCTGTGATTTGCGGAGTTATGCTAAAGAGACAATGAAAACAATTGCCTGACTTCAAGACGTTTTTAGATGGAAACACAAAGATAAATATTTAATTATTAATAATGCTTGATCCTTTACAAGCATTTTCAAATTACAAGTTTACAAGTAAACAAAGAAAAGCTGTTAATTGACAACTTCTCTGTATTTAAATGATTAAATGATACTGCTGTTAAAAAGCTCGGTAGAAATCAATATTGAAATATAGAGTCGTCTTCATTATATTGATATATACGACGACCACTGTGTACTAGTTAATTTTCACAGAACACACCAAGTATATTACAGGGGATGTTAGTTCCAAAACTAACGCTTGGCCAATTTCTAAGACTAAGTGTTAGAAATGGGCCGAATCTGCGAAGGAATCTTTTTCAATTGTTGTCTTCGTCATGTTTAATAAAATGTTGGTTATAGTTTTTATTTTCGACTTTTACTCTAGATATGGGCCGGGATCCCAAAAACCCAGTCTTTCAATATATGTGTGCCCATTTATTAACATTCAGTGTTAGCAATAGGCCAAGTGTTAGTTTTGGAACTAATGTCTCCTGTAATACAAATATGGTATTAATTGTCGTTTAAAACAGTAAAACGGTTTGTAAGAAATATATGATTAAATTACACGAAGCTTAACAGATAATATCAGAATTATCAAACTCTATGAAATGTATTGTTAGTTTCACACACTTTTCTTAATGTGCATTGTGCAAATAAAAATGCATAAAAAGATAAGAGGACTTATTTTGTTTAACAACTGGTTAGTACCACCACCCCCCCCCCCCCCCCCCCCACCTCTGTAAAAGTGCGGATTGTGAGGGAGGGGAGGGGGGCTTTAATATGATGTATGAAGTTTGTACATGAGCGTTATAGTATAAAATGTATAACTTAAGGAGGTTTGCAATTTTTCACAAAAGGAGTCGGGTAGAAGGGGAGTAGAAGGGGGGTAGAAGGGAACTGGGAGTTGGATAAGGGGGGGGGGCAAGGTTGTCCATTTATGGAATTGAAAAGTATTAAATGTCAGAGCTCCACCTTTAACCGTTTTCATAAGTTTTCCGTATAAGTGTTTAGTAGAATTCAGCAGAATTTAGCAGACCACTCTTCACTAAACCCCACTATTTCTTCGGTCAGAGTACTGCAAATTACTGCAGAGAACACCGAAAGCTTAGTCGAGGGTGAGACGGTTGTCTGCAAAAATATTTTAGCAACAACGGGTTTTCAAGATCCGGGCAACAGTTCAAATAGGGGGTAATTTACTTTTTCTAATTTATTAAAATTTGGCAAATTTTTGTAGGTTAAGGTTACTGTCCAGTTTTTAGTTTTGTTGCTATAGGTCTTAAAGGGACTGTACGCGTAATTTCAAGTGATCCCCCCCGTGCTAGTATGATAATGTCTGAAGTTTAGCTAGAACAGTCCCCTTGAAACCTTTATTTGATTATTATATGTAAAAAGAATAGTTTATTTTTTAGGTTTTAAAGTGCTTAATTGTGATAATTCCTATATGTGTTCCTGCAGTATAGAAATGCGCAAGTAAATTTTTCAAAGACACCACAATTGAAAATAATTAGTTTTCAAAATTGAAACATTGATATTTAAAAGGTTCTTCATTTTGAGCTAGATATATTTCTGAAAGTTTTTTGTTTAAAAAAAACTTTTTTACAAAGCAGACATAAAATTTTACTTTAATAAACATTTTATGCCATGAAGCGTTCGAAATTCATCGAGCATACTGCTTAATCTTTAGGCATTTATCGAGCATACTTGCTTAATCTTTAGGCATTTATCGAGCATACTTGCTTAATCTTTAATCATTTATCGNACTTGCTGAATCTTTCATCGAGCATACTTGCTTAATCTTTAGGCATTCATCAACCATACTTGCTTAATCTTTAGGCATTCATAGAGCATACTTGCTTAATCTTTAGAAATTCCTCGAGCATACTTGCTTAATCTTTAGAAATTCATCGAGCATACTTGCTTAATCTTTCATCAAGCATACTTGCTTAATCTTTCTTCGAGCATACTTGCTTAATCTTTCATCGAGCAAACTTGCTTAATCTTTCATCGAGCATACTTTCTTAATCTTTCATAGAGCATACTTGCTTAATCTTTAGGCATTCATCGAGCATTGCAACTTGCAAATTTTAAAATTTGCAACCAGGTCACGATATTAAAGAAGGCCGACCCCATTTAAATGGAATGAGAGTCAGAAAAAAATTAAGTTCTTTTAAAAATGCCATCCCTTATTTACCAAAGCCTCAATGTGCAGTCCAGAAATGCTTCTGAAACGAAATAAAGTTTGACATATGTTTTAGTTCGACAAGATGAAGAAAGTTGTATTTGATATATACAGAACTAATCATGAAAATTATATTAATTCGTAATATAACTGAGACATAATGTTCAGTAACTTTTCATTTACATAATGTCATGTCTACTGTCTAATTTATATAATGTCATATCTACTGTCTAATTTATATAATGTCATGTCTACTGTCTAATTTATACAATGTCACGTCTACTGTCTAATTCATATAAGTCATGTCTACTGTCTAATTTATATAATGTCATGTCTACTGTCTAATTTATATAATGTCATGTCTACTGTCTAGTTTATATAATGTCATGTCTACTGTCTAATTTATATAATGTCATGTCTACTGTCTAATTTATATAATGTCATGTCTACTGTCTAATTTATATAATGTCATGTCTACTGTCTAATTTATATAATGTCATGTCTACTGTCTAATTTATATAATGTAATGTCGTCTGTCTAATTATTAGCAAGACCCTTAAAAGCTTTGTTTTAACAAAAATTCAAAAGATACAAATAATCTTCTTTAGGAAAATTAAAAAAAAATTTTTTTAAATAACTGCTTATAAGAAACAATTGAGGCAATTATCAGTCTGAACACTGCTCAAGTTGGAAAACTACTATATCTTCTTAAATATCAGAATCAGACAAATCCCACTTTATGAAAGGCAGGTCTGCAGTAAAGAATAAAAATCTAATTTTTGTTAATTTTTTAGACCTACCCAAGATGACTGAAGACCTCTGGTACCATGCTCTTAGGTTCCTGGACAAATACAGGTAGATAGATAGATAGATAGATAGATAGATAGATAGATAGATAGCTTTGTTTGCATTGTGTTGAGAAGCGTGTGGGTGTTAAATATTGTAGAAACTACAAATATTTAATGTAATTGGTTCTCAAGTTGCTGTCTTTTTTTGGTCAGAAACGATTTTTGTGGAGACAGTCGTTTGAATAATGAAAATAAAGTTTAAAAGGGAGTGTTCGCGAAAAATTAAAGGGGGTATACGGGGCTTACGGCGAAAAATAATCGCTTTTAATCGCTACTAATCTTTTCAGAATCGTTTTTCTTAATTATCAAATATAACAACGACGAAAAATATAGTAAAAACTCTATTGTAAACTAATTAAATGTTTAGGAACATATTTCTCAAAAGAAATTTGTCAATAATTCGAGGTTAGAATAAATTGCTTCCTTTTTCATCATTATATTGAATTCCTTATTTTCCATGAATTTGTTTTCAAATTTCTTCAAATTCTTCAGATGTCGTCTTTTTAATAAAAATTCCAAAAAATCTGCAGAAAATCTTTGTGATTAAAGAGAGATTATCGAAACTAATAACTGAATAAGATTACTTATTTTCGATGATAAGAGTTAATTTTTATTTTCTCAACCTGTTCCTTAACAACTAATTAGATTAAGCTGTAGGATTTTGTTACCATTTTTTGTCGTCGTTATTTAATAATTTAAAAAAAAAACAATTCTGAAAACGTATCCACGCAAAAGTACGATTTTGAACGTCGACTTTGCGCTAAAACTCAGGATTTACAGATCTTTTATATGTCTAAAATGAATCCTAAAGAATTTTTCCACAACACTGCATACTCAGTTTAACTACCTTACATAGCCGGTCTGTCCCTTTAATTCGGATATACACTGCGTGATTTTCTAGTAAATTGGTTGAAAATAGTTCAAGTGATCATTTCATGCACTTTTTCTACAATTCAACAACATGGCGATTTTACATTTTTTAAAAGTTAATTCCTCTCTATTTATATCTATTCTCTGTGTTTTGTTTGTTTGTGTGTTCCCTAGCTGAGTGTTGTATGTTTAAGAAGGCAGGATGACTAGTGCTTCTATATTTATTAATGTTTACGTTCAAGTTCAATATTTTCATCTTTGTGTTTGTTTAAAAACTTGTCTTTCTGTTTATTTGCACATACTTGTTATTCACAGCAAACTTATTCTTTTAGAATATATTTCTCATCATTCTTTTATTAAATAGAAAGTTATACTAAACATAATGGTACAGTTTTGATGAGGGTTCACTTTATTCTTTATTTCGAATTCTAGCTTTTTTACACATCTGTGAACTTTTTTTCTTAATCAATTATTAACTTTTTTCGCTCTTGTTGTTGTTGTGTTACCATCGCTTTGGCGCTTGTGGGAAAGAAACCTATGAAAGCCGCCATTGTATAGTGTACACTAATATCTTCTATATAATAAAGCTCTTCTCAAATATCTATTTTTTTCAAAAATCTATTTTTTCTTCAAAAATTACTTTTTTTCAAAATTAAAAAAAATAACACGGATAACGCCGGACACTTTAGCTAGTATATGGTTCATCAGAGTTTAGCTGTTTGGCCAGCTATAGCTAACATATATATATATATTTAAACTGATACAAGGAACTATATATTATATATTATATATTTAGAACTGATACAAGGAACTATGTATTATATATTTCATATATTTAGAACTGATATAATGAACTATATATGATATATATTGTATATTTAGAACTGATACAAGGAACTATATATTATATATATTGCATATTTAGAACTGATACAAGGAACTATATATTATATATTTAGAACTGATACAAGGAACTATGATATCGAGGAACTCTACGAGTTTGCAGACAAGACAGGGATTCTGGAAAGGCATAAACAGCTGCTTGCCAAACCATACCATGACAGCCAGGTAGAAAGATCGTCTTTTATAATAAACTACAATGGCATGCGTTTATATCAATAAAATAAAATTTACTTTATATTTAAATTTGTTCCCCGAAAAGAGACAAAATTTAATTTTAACAAAGTAATCTTTGTTTTTATTATTATTATTATTTCAAAGATAATATGTCCTCCTTTCTTGAACTACTCCTCCATGTTCAAATATAAACCAAAGCTAAAAAGTTGTTAGCATTGTAATGATACAATTGCCTACCACTGTAAGATGACTGTCAGGTTATAGACAGATCATCTATGAGAATAAACTAACATGTACTATTTCAACCCAAATGTCGTCTTCCTAATCCATTTTATTTTTAGGATCAGTGGACTTTTTTTACGGATTAATTTGGTTCTTTTTAGAAAATGTTTAAAATAAAGACCCTAGAAGCTTTTGGCACCTAGAAGTTGAACCTTTTTTAAACCGAATTAAGACTAATGCAACAAAAAGATAAGTTTGACATGCTGAAAAAAGTTTACGGAACGAAATTATTCCGGATAAATTCCATACGGAAATGCAATTGACGTTCCGTAAACTTTTTGCAGCATGTTACACCTAGCTCTGTGAAGCACGGATGGGGTAGCTCCTTATTTTAAAATTCTGTAAAATCGGTAAACTAGGTTCCGCATTAATTTCAAAAAGTTTGAATGATTTATTATTCATAACAGCTTCATGAAAGGTTCCGAAAGAATTTAACAGAATCAAATTTATCCCGAAAAAAATTGAAGTCCTTCAGGGCAATGGGCACTGTTAAGTGTACTATACCGGATCTAGAAGGTGTTCTCTGTTTAGATTGACATGAAGATCATGTACTACGAGCTGATCAAGATGCTGATAGAGTACGAGAGAAAGAATCACCCTGAGCAGTATGATGCTACCAAGACAGTTGGAAAAATCGAAGGTTACCAGGTATAAATGAAATTCAAAAGTGCTAAAGTAGGGACCTAGGACCGCATTTAATAAATTGGAACTACCTACCGTCAGTTCAGATCTTTAATTACATTCACCGATTCAAATCCTATTGAATATTTTATTTTCAATCCCTGATTCAAATTTGAACCGGCGATAGTAATTCATTAAGTTCGGTCCCTGCCCAGTGTCCGAATTTAATGAATTTAGGCCACGTCTTAAATCCCCAAAAACCGGTTTTAATTGACCGCCGGCTTAAATCTTCAGTGGAACCGAGACTTAAATTTAAACCGACTAATTCGACTCATTAGTCATTAGCGTTAACTTTCAAACACAATTTTTAACCAGTAAATAACGATGTTTGTGTTGTCTGTTGTGTAGACACAGTTTTTAGTTTTCAGGGGTGGAGGTTGGGGTTGCCCTTATACCCCCCTCTCTGTATACGCTCCTTTAAAACTTTTATATCTTATGTTACTTTTGTACATTTTATATACCGCGTCTTCTTTAAGCAGACTTATTTTATAAGATTAAATTATAAATTATGATTTAAGAATAAATCAAGGATTATGATTTATTAAGATTTTACTAGAAACCATACTAATGCAGCTCTGTTCTTGTCTTTATGTAACTAAGAATTGTAACTTTATAATTTTACAAAAAGGGTTAATTAATTGTGGAAGGGGAGGGGGGTATATAAGGTTGATTAATTGTGGAAGGGGAGGGGGGTATATAAAGTTTAAGTCTATTTTATTATTATCATTTAACTTTGAGCTTTTGTAGATATTCCAAAGATCTTTTAAATTTCTCTCTGCTTAATCTCATTTGCCATAATAGGATTGTCATAGCATGTTTGTCATTGTTAGCACTTGCCAAAAGTAACACTAGCCATCAGAGGCGCAACTAGGGGGGGGCGGCCGGGCGCGCGCCCTCCCCTAGCACCTGAGAGGGGGGGGGGCGCGCCCCCCCTGCAGAATGAAAAGAAAGAAAGAATGGCGAAAATCAGTATCACAGGAATAAGAAAACCAATAGATTTTTTGTTGACATTTTATTATACTATAGTTAGTTTTAAAAAGAATATTTTTATCTTTCTCAATTCTCAAGGCTTCTAGCCATGAAGGTTGCAGAACTGTCATGAAAGGTTAAATTACATTTTCATTACAGTGTCCGAATTTAAAGAATTTAAGCCGCGTCTCATATCCCCCAAAAACCGGTTTTAATTGAGCGCCGGCTTAAATCTTCAAAAATTGAATACAATTTTAAGTAGAACCAACTATATTTGAGCCCCCGTCTTAAATATAAGCCTCGGCTCAAATTCTTTAAATTCGGCCTCAGGTTACATTGCCATAAAGGTTATACAGGGTTACCCACAAAGGATGAGACTTGTTATAGCTTAAGTTTAAAAGAAGTAATTGGCAAATTACTGCTCGATTTTTTGCCTAGAGCGTGCACATTCTGGTTTGCATTGTAAAACAAAGAATATATTTTAGGAATTGACGAACAAGCTTCAGCGATATCTAAACCAGAGATTTATTGAAGATATTGATAAACTAGGTAATTGTTATTCAGGTTTAGTTTGATCAGGAAATATCATGAAAGTATAATGAAACCAGCTTAGGAACTCAGCTTTACCTGAAACTAAATTTTCTTTAAAACAGTCAACTCACCCAACTTAGAATTTTAAACAAACTAAGAACATAAGTCAAGAGATTCATGAGTTAAGATCAGACATCCAACCAAACACAAACAGAGATTAATTCATGTATATATATATATTTATATATATATATGTATATATGTATATATTTATATATATATATAATATATATAAAATAGCAGATTTTGATTAGGGAACTCGGTAGAACCACGGAAATGTTCTTAGCCTAGTTTAAAAATTCTATGTTGAGTGAGTGGACTTTGATTGGGACAGTTTAGATTTCCAAGTTCCTAAGCCAGTATTTACATATTATATACTATAATTGAAATTAGTAATCTCAATTTATAGGACTCGGTTCGTAATTTCAAGCGACCCCCAATTACTTGGCAGATTTACAATCCATAAAACATTATTTTTATGATTTTCAAAAGCGGTTTCTCAGTAATAGTGATTTCAGTATTTACAATCAAGGATTATAATTTACAGAATATCAAATATAGGTTTAAAGGGCACCGTCTCGTGAATCAGGTTTATCGTGAATCAGGTTTAAAGGGCACCATGTCGTGGATCGGGTTTAAAGGGCACCGACCACCGTCTTATGAATCAGGTTTAAAGGGCACTGTCTAGTGAATCAGGTTTAAAGGGCACTGTCTCGTGAATCAGGTTTAAAGGGCACTGTCTCGTTAATCAGGTTTAAAGGGCACCGTCTCGTGAATCAGGTTTAAAGGGCTCCGTCTTGTGAATCAGGTTTAAAGGGCACTTTCTAGTGAATCAGGTTTAAAGGGCACTGTCTAGTGAATCAGGTTTAAAGGGCACTGTCTCGTGAATCAGGTTTAAAGGGCACTGTCTCGTGAATCGTGTTTAAAGGGCACCTTCTCGTAAATGGAGTTTAAAGGGCACCGTCTCATGAATCAGGTTTAATAAGCAACGTCTTGTGAATCGGGTTTAAAGGGACCCGTCTCATGAATCAGGTTTAATAAGCACCGTCTTGTGAATCGGGTTTAAAGGGAACCGTCTCGTGATTCGGGAATATAAATAACAGGTTGCTTGCAAGTTGCAACTACATCGACAATCTCTTTAATAAATAGAAATAAAATAGAGTGGTCAGCAATTAAATTAATACAGTCAAGAAGACTTTTTATTGCTTATGCTTTAATTTCTAACAAGTCTTTTTCAAATTACAAATTTACAAATAAATGAAGAAACGTTATTAATATGACAACTTCGTTTTGTTAAAATGTAAGTGGTTTTGCTGTTTAAAAGCTTGGTAGAAGTAAAAATGAAAAAGAAAGTCGTCTTATTGTATTGATATATACGACAAAAAAATATTTTTAATAAAAATGTGTTCAGGTGATGCCCAATTACAGTTGGGTGAGATCAATATAAGCCAGCAGTTTACCACTATACAGGAGAATATCAATAATATCCAACAGAAACTGATCAAGGTACTTTCTTCTATTTACTATTCCAGTTGCGTGAAGAGATTTTTAGATGCAAAAAAACTTTTTTATAAACTTCCCTTTTCAATATTTTTTTTTAAACGATGAAGTCAGTATTTATGACCAAGCCTCCTTATCTTCTTCAGTCTTGTGTACAATTCATAAATTTTTTAAGTCTGATAACAAACTTGTAATCTATAATAACTAAACCTACTTACGTGGACAATTTGGAATGTTTTTATTCAAGGTCGAAGAAAAGAATTTATCCTTAGAGGAGAACTTAACAACCCTGCAACATCAATACACTACATTGAACACAGAGCACACAGGAATACACGCTAAAAATCTTAACTTTATCTCCACTCCCTTCCTAGAAAAAGTGTACATCTCCTTTTTTTGCCATTTTGTTTTGAAAATGAAAAATTATATACTTTTTTCAAAAGAACATTAAGGCTAACTACTTAGTAACTACCTATGCCGAAATTTTTGTCCGATAGAAATAAATAAAAATTAAGTGCACTTTTTATCCATAACTATTCCTTTAAGCTAATTCTCAATAGATTATTTGATTTTTCCATTAGATCTCAGAGAGACACATTTGCATCTGGAAACCCGGGTTGGTATTCTGGAGACAACAAACTCTTCCCTTCTACTCAAGGTTCAAGGACTCAAAGAGAAGGAGGAACAGCTAGAAGAGTTGGTCTCCGGGTTCAGGAAACAACAGGAGATGGAGAACAGTGCAATGAAGCAGGAGCTGGAGAAGGGGGGAAACCAGATTTCTAATCATGAAGATAGAATCCTGGTTTTGGAAACTGAAACAGTAAAGATGATGGAACTCAACACACAACAAGTAAAGTAGTTTTTTTTGCCCTTTTTTTAACATTTACCTGTAACCAGCCCATTGATATTGATTATCTGAAAATTTGATTTTTTAACCCTATCCCTGCTGGGGTACTTGAAAACCAGGATACGCTGGGGGGGGGTCAATTTGACCCCCCCCTCTAAATCCCATGTTTTATGTCCAAATATGACAAATGATACATCATTAGAAAGCTCTTGTGCTCTACTTTTAGAATCTGCAAAAAAATTTGCAAATTTGCGAAAATTGAATTTTTTATCGCAAAATCCAGTTTTATATAGTAAAAATGTTTGCAAAAAAAATTTGTCCAAAAAATGACAAATTATACATTTTTGAAAAACCTTGACCATGCCATTTCAAATATGCAAAAATTTTTGCAAAATTTTAAATAACCTGATTTTTAATCAAGAAAAACTAAAAATGTGCAAATTTCCTTTGACAGGTTGTTTGCAAAAAATTTGCAATTTTTTTTTTGCAAAACTTGTGTAATCCGTTTTCTTATGTCATAGGCTTTCCAAAAAGCTAAATTTTATCAAAATCTGATAACTGAAAGTGGGTCAAAACAAAGATTTAGTTTGTTAAGTTACATTGGTAAAAATGTTAAGGGGGATTGACTGTTTATTTCTAATCACAGATCAAAATTCATATAATCAAAATTCAGACTATTGGGAATATTTCTTTTAAAACAATTGTAAATGTCAATCAAAAATATTCAGGATGCACGAATTGAAGCATTGGAGAACGGAAGCCATGCTTTGGATAACAAGCTAAGTGATTTGGAGTCTGCTGATGTCTTCCTTCAGGAAGCCAATAAGCAGCTAGCGGTACGAACTACAGAGATTGAGAACAAATCCAAAAAGATTGAAGTTGACTTTAGCCAGGTTACTGAGGAGTTCCAGAAAGGATTTACACTGAAAGTGGAAAGCAAGCTGGAAAAAATGGAAGAAAGTCTTGATGTTTTGAACAAGAACAAGATCAATAATGATGCGAAAATGTCAGATTTGATTGCACGCTTAGATGAGCATGATGACAAGATTGAGAATATGCAAACTGATATTGAAACTGGAAAAAACATCATGGAAAAACTGTCAAGCACCACAGAGAATATTTCTGAAATTATTTCTCAAACTCAAAAGCAAATCACAAATGTTGCCGAAAATGTAGAAAAGAACGAAAAGGACATCACAAATATATTTAGCTCCCTTGCCAAGCTAAATTCAGAAAATCAGGACATGCACTCTGAAAGCAAGCTTAACATTACGAGAATATATGAAGCCATACATGAACAACAAATTTCCCTGGAGAACACTATCAAAGAGCTGAACAGTGAACATGATAAAGTTACGAGCTTTGAATTGTTGATCTCTGCTTTAACAGCAGAAACGGATGGCCTGAAAGCCCAAATTAGCCATGAGATGCAGACCAGTGTAGAGAACTTTGAAGAAGGTCAAAATAAATTAAAGGAAGCTTTCAAGGAGCACTTGAGTAATTTTTCTGCTCAAGCCTCAAAACTTGATAAGGTAGAAACAGATGCAGATGTCACAAATTCTGATCTCAAGAAACTTCTAGAAAGATTCTCTAAATTGCAGAATGATCTACAAAGTCTGGATGTCAAACATGTTGAAACTGTGGAAAGAATGAAAGAGGTGACAGTTCTTGCAACAAACATTGAAGTTCATGTCAAATCTCAAGAGCAAAGGATAGAACAGCAGAATGAGGAAGGCTTAACCAATGTTAACAAAAAGATTGCAATGATTGAAGGAGACCTGGATACTGCACAGAAGAAGATAGCTGACTTGGACAGCAAAGGGCTAAGTTTGTCAGGCAATGTTCAAACAATAAACCAAACCTTGGTTTCAAAATTGGACGAACTCAAGAAAATTACTGATGACCTTGAAGCCAAACTCAGTAATGCGTCTGCTGATCACTCAAAGAAAATGGAGGCGATTCAAGACCTTTATGCGGAAAGTACAGATAAGATTAAGGGGCTTGAAGAGGCAAGTATGCAGCACTTTGAGCGTGCTCGTTACTTTGAAACTCTGAACACAAGGGTAGCCCAACTGGATGAGATGAGACAGCAAAGTGAAGCTAAAGCAAGAGATGAAGTAGATATGGGTATCTCAAAGCAAAATTCTCTTGTCAATGAGTTTAAACTGGATGTAGACAACAAGGTTCAAAACATAACTTTACAGTTCCAGGAAAACTTTTATAAATCAGAACAAGAAAATAATCAACTGAAAGAACAAATTCTACACTTGAAGGCGGAAATTGAAAAATGCTACCTTTCAATAAATGGATTAAATGGAGAGTTTGGAAATATTACTGGCAAGATCCAAGATCTAGAATCAGGATTTGATACTCAACTGAAGAATATTTCTGCAAAGACAGATTATGCTGAAAGTTCCCTAGCCAAAGAGGTTGAACAATTAAATGATAAAGCATCGGAGCTTAATTCTAAGTTGAAGTACTTGGAACATGAAAATATGAACAATATAGCAGAAATAGTGGCAATGAAGGAAGCTTCATTTGCCCACAATGAAAAGGTAACTTTTGTAGAAGCTCTGTCAGCCAGGGTTAGCTCATTTGATGATAGCAGACAGCAGTTTGAAGAAGATTTGATTAGGAAAAATGAGGAAATGATTGCCAAGAATGCATCTGCAATAACAGATTTGAAGCAGGAATGTGAGGGTAGATTGGAAATGCTTGAAGCAGAGACCAAAAGCGGCTTTGCAAAAACTGCAGATGCTAATGATGGGTTAGCAGTCTCACTAGAAAATCTGAGAAAGGAGAATGAAAATCTTGGGACTTGGTTCAAGGATCTTCAGGAAAGGCATGTTCAGCTGAACTTCATTTTAACTGAACAGAATCAGACAAACCAAACCTTTGTTCTGGAAAAACAGCAGGAACTTGAAGCTAAGATTGAAAAAAGTCTGTTGCAATCTCAAGAGAATATCAAAACAGAACAAGAAAGTGGGATGTCTGAGTTGAGGGAAATGATTGAGACAACTTCAAATAATTTGAGAGCTGAAATTCAAGATAAGGCAGACAAGGAGAATGTTGAAAAGCTTGAGATGTTCAAGAATTCCCTGAAAATAATGGAAGATAAAATTGAAGATGTTGCCACTGGTATTCAAAAGGCGGAAGAGAACTTTGCAGCAAAGGTTGATGAAAATGTCCTGTCTCTGAGATCCGACTTGGAAGAAAAACTTAAGGAGCAAGAATATGATTGTAAAGAACTCTACAAAACAAATGAAAAGCTTCAGAGCAAGGTGGAAATTCTGGAAATGGGAATTTCGGCTCAACTTGAAGACATTGAAAAACTGAGAGAACAGGATGAGGTCATAAAGCAAGAGGTTAAAGATACCCAAGAGGCTGAAACTTCACGATGTGCTCTAATGCAGAATTCCCTTGAAGAGAGGATGAAGACTCTTGAAGATAAACTTGACCAATTCCAAACAAGCTTAGGTGAATCCCAGCTGAATCAAAATGAGATTATCATCAGGGAGAGCAAAGAAATTATTTCAAAAATGAAAATAGAAATAGACCAAGGAGCAGCGGAAACAGACAAACATTTCAGAGATGGCTTGAAAGCCATGGAGGAAAAAATCCAAAAACTTGAAACTGATGTTCTTAGCAGTCTGGAAAATAAATTAGTCCAAGAGATAAAAGACAGCCATTTAGTACTTAAGGGAGAAACTGGCTTGAAGATTAAGACGCTTGAGGATGATATTGAAGGTCAGAAGTTGGTTATTGAGGACAAGTTTAACAACTGTTTGGAACAGCTTGAATCCAACAAAGTTCAGCTTAAAACTGAAGTTGGAAACAGTTCACGAGAGTTGCTTTCAGAAATTCAAAATGATTTAGATGCAAAGTTGGCAAACATTGATATCTTTGTTAAGGAGGCTGAAAAGCATGTTGAGAACTTGAGATCCCTGAATGGCAAACTGATTGATCAGGTAAAGGAAAATATGAAGGGGCATGAGGTAGAGCAAGAAAAGATTGCAGAAAACCTGAAACAGCAAACGGATGGGCAATTAGAAAAATATAAGAAGCAAGTTGAAGATGAGCTAAAGACCATTATCAGCATTAAGGATGAGCATACTCTTACTTTGACCAGTATGTCCAACACAATAATCTCAGTACGGGAGACCCTTTCCAAATCTATAGAGGAGTTCAAAGAGACAGAGAAGAGAATTGATGCTTTGGAAAAAGGACAAATTGTTCAAGATGAGGAAATTGACAAAAATAAGGAAACTCTAAAAGATCAGCTTCAAGACTTAATGGCTAAGATAGCACTAAATCAATCTGATCTTGAACATCATCTGACAATTTATGAAGATGAAAAGAAGATGACGCAACAGCGCCTTGATGACTCTGGAATCAGCATGTCAGAAATTGATGAAAAACTGAGCTTCCTGGCTGAAAACAATGAAACTAAGGACCAGACAATAAATGAAATGAACAAATCCTTTGAAACTTCCATACATGTGTTCTCCTCTCAGTTTGAGACCAAACTAGCAGAGGATCATAAAGCTTTTACTGATAGATTGCAGAGGGCAGAGGATAATGTAAGGGACAACAGTATGGCTATTAAAGCTAATACAAGTCTGATTCAGCAGAATGGTGACAACATTGCCAGCTTGCTCACAACATCTGGAAAACATGATGAAGAATTTGTTGTAATTAAAGTTGAAATTCAGAAACTGCAAGTTAATGAGCAAAAAGAGAGTGAGGAATCATTAAAGAAAGTAGAAATCTTAAGCAGCAAGGTGGAATCAGAGATAAAAAGGCTTGACCAAATCAAACATCAAGTAAGCGATCTAGATGATGCAGTGACTCATCTTTCTCCGGATATTATCACCAATGCGGAGAAGATTCTTGTCTTAGAAGTGTTCAAGGAGAAGTTGGAAGCCTCAACTGAAAACCTGCAAAAAGAAGTTGAAGAGGTTAAATCTGCCGAGGAAAAATCGCGGTCAGAAATTGAAGAGCTCAAGGAGGACACAGAGAAATTGGGAGAAATATTGGAGACTCTTCAAGACAAGTTTGATAATTTGAAGAAGGAGACATCTGACAGGTTTAAGGATGACAATACCAAAATTGAAGAAGTAAGTGGACTCTTATCAAACATCAAACTCTCAGTTGAAGAAAACAACGCAGCACTTCAGAGTCAACTTCAAGAATTAAAGAAGGACCAAGATGCTAAGACTGTTATTTTGGGCAATGATGTAATTGATTTGAGAAATCAGTTGACAAAGTTTGAAAGACAGTTTTCTGAAGTTCCCCTGCAGCTAGAAGAGCATAAAAAGAATACTGAGGATGAGATTAAAAATCTGAAAGAAAAACAGTTTGATGATGTCAAAAATCTCAAAGATCAGCTTGATGAATTCCTTGATAAATTTGCAATTGTTCAGGCGACCCTAGATGAAATCAAGGCAACAAATGTTAAGATGGAAAACATTGAAAATAATATAAGCCAACAATTTAATCTGAAGATTGCCAGCTCGATGATGGAGAGCAAAGATGCTCAAGAAGAAAATCAGAAAAGGCTAGATGAGCTGAAAGAAAATTTGAATGAAGAAACTGCTAAGCTGTCAGTTATTATAATGAGCATGAAATCATCATTTGAAGACAGCAACAAGCTAATAATAGATGACATTGACAAACTGAAGAGTGCAGACAATGAGCTGATGAATGAAATTAACAACAATAAAAATAGCTTAAACCTGAAACTGGAAAGCCTGAATTCAGAGGCACAATCTTTGATTGGAAGGGTCACTGGGGTAGAGAATGAAAATAAGGAGCAAAATGATTGCATTCTTCATCTTGAGACAAACCAAAAAGACCAATTGGAAAAGATTGTTTCCCTTTATGAAAACACAGCTGCCTATGAAGAAAAATCAAAGTATGTTCAGGTTCTTGAAGCTAAAGTAGAAAAAGTTGATGAAATGAGACAAAAAAGTGAAAGCCAGACCAAGGAAGATTTTAAACAAGCAATCATGACAAACAAGGATAATATTGAGAAATTAAGAGCTGATGTAGACAAATCAATCCAGGAACTAGGAGAAAAACATGATGATGATATGAGTAACCTAAGCTCCGCCGTAGCAGAGATGAAAAACAATTTTGCAAACAATGTGAGAGAAGTAAAAGAAGATTGCAATATTCTTAAATCAGAGGGAGTTGTATTCAAAGACACACTCACAAAATATCAAGAACTGCTTGAAGTTAAGCTTAAGGAAGTTGATAATAACACCAATGAAAATTCAAGAGTTATCCAAGATGTCAAAGATATGTTGAATGAGACAAATGATAAGATTGATACTAATCAAGCTACTTTTAATACTGGCCTTAACAGTCTAAAAGATGAAACTCCTGCTCTGATAGAAAAAACTTTAGATTTTTTCAAAACTGATGTCAAAGAAGAAATTACAGTCCTCAATAATGACTTCAATGAGCTGAAGAAGAATATTGAACCACTTGAGCTAGGTTTCACAAAACTTGGAAAAGAACTGGAAGAAAATTCTCAGAAACAATCGGCGTCTCTGAATGACCTCAAGAATGTTAGCCAAGATATGCTTGCTGTTCTCAGGAATGATTTTGACGGGAAAGTTAAAGAGATCATGGAGTATTTTGATAAGCAGGGAAAAACAATAGCATTAAACAACACTTATATGATGTCCTCTCAAGAGTTATTGCACAACATATCCATATCTTCCACAGAGCAAGCAGAAAAGATTGAGGCCCTAGAATCTCAAACTGGTATTCTAGACAACAAGCTATGCAGTCTTGAGTCTGCAGATCTTTTCCTACAAGAAGCACACAGAATGCTTACAGATAAAACTACACTTGTTGAAGCTGAATCAAAGAGGTTGGAAGCTTCAGTATTGGCCCATATGAAAAATCAAAAAGAGGAGCATGAAGACACCCTGAAAAGCCAGATAACCCTCATTCTAAAAGATATTGACAAACTTGAAGCGGACAAATCCAAGGCATTTGAAAGGATAAATGACATTGAAAATCAGGCTCATGGCAATCAGAATCAGATAACAGTCCTTGAAGCTAAATTTCTCAACCAGACTAACGATCTCTCAACAAATCTTGAAACAATGATTGCTGATATGAAGACAAGCCAAGAGAACAAATTAGAGGTTCTGGAGGAAAACATTGTATTGAATAAGGCAATTTTGCAAAACTCAATTGAAGATTTGAACAATAACCTCAAGGGCAATGATGAAAAAATCAAACAAATTGAGGGTAGTCTCAAAATTTTGGATGTGAAACATGTAGAAACTACACAGAAGATGAAAGAAGTCACTGTCTTGGCAACCAACATTGAAGTTCATGTCAAATCACAAGAGCAAAAGTTTGAAGAGCAGAAAGCTCTAGATATGACTGGGTTTGAAAACAGCTTCAAAGAATTAAAAGAAAAAGAGGTGATGCTCCAAGAGAAATTGGAAAGTCTTAAAATTGATTGCCAGGGAACCATGCAAAAGATTGACGACCTTGAGTTTAAAGACAAAGAGAAAAATGCTTTAGTTGATGCTTCAATTCATGACATACATGCAAAATTGCAATCCTTTGATGATCACAATAAAATTCAAGGAGAGAAGATGCACGTTATTGAGATGCTAAGTGACAGGTTGGATCAGCTAGATGAATCAAGATCAACTCATGATCTTCATGTTACCACAACAATTGAAAACCTACGAGAGGAATATAAAAAAAATTTGGCTCTAATCAACCTGGAAATAGACAACAAGCTCACTGCCCTACAGGATACAGAACTATCAACGCTGCATCAAATCACAGAGGCTTTAAAAGGAGACTTAGTCAACCTAAGGACTGAAAACGAAGGGCAGGGCAGAAGTATTATAGAACTTGGCAACAATTATAAAGAAGTAAATGCCAGGTATGAGGAACATATTAAAATTCTGGAAACCAAACTATCCCAAGCACTATCTGAAATACAAATACTGCTTGCTAAAGTTGAAAGCATCGATGATGAGAACAAGTATAATAAAGAAAAGCTGGTGGCCATGGAGGAAGCAGCAGTTACCCAGAGTGAAAAGGCAGTATATGTTGAATCTTTAATGAGCAGGATGGATGACATGAGACAGCAGAGTGAGGTGAAATCAAAAGAAGAGCTTCAAACTAAAATTCAATCACAAACAAAAGCTGTTGATGAACTGAGAAATGAATTGGAAGCAAAGCTTGGAAGTATTTCAAGAGATATCAGAGGGGAACTGGACTCACTAAATTCTGCACAAGAGCAACTTCGCAGCAAGTTGCATCTTGATAACAAAGCAGCACTTGAGACCCTTGAAAATGAACAAGAAACAAAATTCACTGCAATTATGAAAATCATCCATGATCACAAAACTTTAATAGAAAAAACTCATTCTTCAATTACAACCATAACTGAAAGAATTGTTCACACTGAATCTTCTCAGAGTAATTCCCAAGAAAAGATTATTGCAGACTATGCCCAAAAACTATCTGAGTTGAAGGAAAATTTTGAAGAAAGGATTGTGGAACTTTTTATGCAGAGTGGAGTGCAGAAGGCACACATTGATAAGAATACTTCATTGATTGAAGAACTGTCTGCTGAATTCAATTCTTCCAGTTTACAACTGAGAGGAGAAATTACAAATATCAAGGTATGTATTATTAGTAAAAAAATGTCATTAGTGTAAAAAAAATTAATTATCTATTTAATTTATTTATTTAATTAAATATCTATTTAATTTATTTTCTAGGAACATCAGGAAAATGAAAGAAACCTTATTGTGTCACAAATTCAAGAAGATCACAGCTCCCTTGAAGCACTCTTTAACAGTTTGGAGACTAGGGTCGAATCCACAGAAACTACTCTTATCAAAGAGGTAAACTGAGGATCATTTTACAGTCCTAATTGATAACTCAAAAAAAATTGTTAAATATTTTTTTTTGATTTAATCAATAATAAGAATAATAATTATAATTATAATAATTGGTGTACAAATTCTAATTGAAAAATTAAAATTAGAAATGTTAGCTCAATTTCATAATTTACTGCCTCCACCCAATATAGAACCTTGACCAAATCATAAACAGTTATCAACATCTTGTGTTCAACCAATCTTTTTGAAATTTTATTTCAGTCCAGCAGAATGGAGAGTTTGGAGAAGTTCTTCCATGGAAGAACACAGAAGGATGATGAGTTGTACGAAAGAGTATTTGGATTGGAAAAGGCCAGTAAGGAGCATGAGGATCTTATTGTTAATGTGGAGAAATCTGCGTCTGAGAAGGCTGAAGAGTGCGATATGCAGCTTAAGGATTACAAGAAGACTAACAAGGATGAGCTCCAGGGAATACGTAAGTACATACATGCATGTTTTCAAATCTAGTAACTGCCAATGCATGCTTCCTTAAGTAGTTTAAACCATTATTAAGGTTGGGTAAAATGGTGAGTGATTCAAACTTCCATAAGGTTTTTATTAGTTTCTCCTTTATTCTGAGAGAATTTGTAATTTTTAACTTAAGACCTACTGGTTATTGTGTGCTAAGACATCCGATAAATATGATCCCATTCATTTACATAGGTTCGCATGTCAAACGCCTTAGCATCGGTTACAATAAGTCAAATTACCAGTTGAATGCTGTTCTCTTGCATTTACACTTGACCGACTAGTAAGTAGTTTTTATCACACTGCATGAGTAGGTTGACATAGTTTCTTAGCTCACAGAAGAAATTGTTATTTTTCATTTGAATTACTTGACATTAAAACTACCAAACCTTGAGAAAATTTGCCCAGAACTATGCATGTCATTTTATGGTCCAAAAAATCAAACTTACTTCATTTAAAGTTTTCACCACAAGAGTGTTTGCACCAATATTCACTTCTTTTTGTTTTAAGGGATTTCTTCTTATTTTTTTCTTTTTCTTGTTCAGTATGGGATATGAGTTGTTATGTGATGAAAGAAAGTAAAAAAAAAAACTCTAAGACTTTTATGCTGGTGCCATTCTTGCTAGCGCCATTTCTGCTACTATAAATTTTACTGTATGCCAATTTAAATATACAAAATTCAAGCTAGCAGCAGCCCTTAGTACCCTAGCCTTACCTAGCCATAATTCTTTGCCTCCTCGCCTAGCATGTCCTAGCTGCAGTGCTCAGCCTATTATTCAGCTATTTGAACAAAAATGATGCTCGCAAAAGTGACAGTAGCAAAAATGTCACAGGCCAAATAAATAAAAAACAAATGTAACCTCAAATCCCTTACTGCTTCAGCTTGTAGACCAGTAAAGGGCAATTTTCTTCAGGTTTAGGTCGGGGCAAGCAACCTGCTTCTAAAGTTGGACTATGGTTATCAAAAAAGCGAAGAACGCTCAGCTGTTGTGCATGTAGAGCACCAAATCAATCAATGCAAAACGTTTACCTTGCATCAGAAGCATCTGGTGAATCAATTCAAAATTACAGGCGCAGAGATGGAAACTGACAAGGAGAACCTGTGGACTCTCATCATTGAAATATATTCTGCATTCCGTAAGTTCTTTGAAATGAACATTTTTAATAATTCAACAAAGTGTTCTTACCTTCTAACCATTTAACAATCTACTCAGGGGGGTCAACTGTTGTACTGAAGTCGGAAGGTGCAGTTAAGCACCACCAGGCGGATGTATTGGGTGTGTACAGGATGGTGGATAACTACAATGACAGACCAGTGTACAAGCAGGACGGAGGAGAAAATTACATCTATTACAGGTAAAATCTGATTCTTTTTTATTGTTATTGCAGAATTTGACAATATCTTGATTTCTGAAAATATATTTTTCATAAATTTTTATACTTTAGCAATCATTTTTAATTTTTTTTTAAAATGACTTACATATTTGCAGTGCTACGTCAAACAGCTGGTTGGTTGGAACTGTGGTGGGGCATCAGTATGGCTGGCTGCGTAATCCATCTGAAAATGCTGGGAAGCGGCGCTGGATCCCAGACCTTAGTACTGGCTGGGAGTACAGACCTCTCATCCGCAATAGTGAACTCAATAACACGTGGTGCACAGACGATGGAACTCTCAGGATAGAGAGCCTCAGAGGTGACACCTTTAAACCAATTTAGTTCTAGGTTGAGGGGAAGCGTTCCGGCCCTCTCCAACTTTAGCTTCTAGATCATATCCTTTTTTTAAATAGACAAATGAAACTTTTTGACGGAATTTTAAGGACGGTCATGAGCTTAGAAATGATTCTAAAATTTACATGAAGCCCTTGAAAACATGGATTTTAAAAAATGCGTCAGATGCATTCCATTCCAAAAAAACCTTCACTCACATAATTAAATTGTTATACTATTTTAGATGTTGAAAAGGTGAATGAACTTATTAGAGATATCAAGAACTCGAAAGAGGTGGATTAAAGAATTAAACACGTTGACTCCCGATCAGAATTGATTAGATTTTATAGTTAGGACAGAATCATTCAGAAAAATAAATTTAATTTAAAAAGTTTCTGCAAATCTTAAAATATATTTGGTCTGTAGTCTAAACTAAAATTAGTAATGAATAGTATTAATGAAGTATTTATTAACAAGTAACAACTGTAGATTCCAGTGGGTTAAAGTATTTCTTTTGGTAAAAACTACATATCAAGTCTTGACCTAATCAAGTGCTTTATGATTATTATAATTTAATTGATATAGGAAAAACTATTAAAAATTGTCTTGAGACAGATATTTCCGATAAAAAAGCAGTGTTTTATTCTAAATTCCTTGATTTTAAATATTGGTATTTTTGCATGATATGTAGGTATGCAGGTGTTCGTGCCAAACTCAAGCTTTAATATGTGATATGATTAAAAATTGATACTCTATATATATTCTTGTATTCACTGTAGAGGTTGTAAATAAAAAATAAACGATAAAATTATATTTGTCTTGTTTGTTTCAATCGTTTACAGATAAATAGAAATAACTCCAGTTAAATCTAGTTAAAAAATTGTTTATGCAACCATATTTCCAGCGGAAATGTTTCAGCAATCTTATAATACAACATTATAACCATGTGTCAAGCAAAAATGTCAACCTGCAAAACTGTAGAATAACATTAATTAAATGTATTTTATTTTGTTACAAAGAAAATAGTTTTAATAACTTATTAAATCAATCATTAAGTGAAATGAGTCAGTTTGGTTTACATTCCACACTTGCTGTGTCTTGTGTTCATTGGACTATTTAAAGTCATAACTTGAGGCTAAATGTCGTCTTTATATTCCAGAGTTACTTAATTTTAAACATAGGTAAAATGTTTTAAGTTTTAAACTAGACCTAAAAATATAATGTACACAAAATATGACAAATAAACATTTTTTAATAAGGAAAGTCGTCAATTACCATGACATTTCTTTATTTGCCAAACACAAGTTTTTTTAAACCTATAGTTTGTAATAAAGAAAAAATTAAATATCAAATATGAGTGTTTAGTCATAGGAATTCCAAAACTTCCACATTATCAAAGATTCACTATACAGGGTTACCCAAAAAGGATGAGACTGAAAAAACGACTTAAAAATTTTCAAATATGACGATCCCAAGGGTAAATTAAGTCGTCTGCATATAATATAGTCTTTTAGTAGCTTGGATAATGATTTGAACAAGAACTAAATAAGTTAGAGTTGCAGTGAATCATGAATATAAGGAAACAGAAAGCAAACATTTCATTCAGTCGTCTCTGAGGTCTCATCCTTTGTAGGTAACCCTGTATGTAAAGCAAACAATTTCTTGAAAAAACAAATTGTAATGTCTGATTTATGAATTAATTCCTTTTTTGCTCTTTTTAAAAGATTAGGGCTGACTGAAATAGAAAAATAATTTGGTCATTTCTGACATTTCTAGGCCTAATACGACTACCCATAATCAGTAAATAAATGGTTGAATGCTAAGAAACAAATAATAATGCAAAACAAAATTTAAAATAAAACGAACCTCGTTTAATCCTGTAATCTGAACGAAGAATTGTTTAAAAATGTGAAGTTTAGATCTTGAATTGTCGGCTAATAGCAATGCAAACTGAATATCGAATTTACTGATAAAGTTTAAACGTATTAAAGTTTTGTGGGGCAAATAAGAATGTGGAATTGTCAGTAAAACACATTAGTTGAAGTATTAATAAAAAAAAAGGGACTGCAGTAAACATAATCTTAAGTGATCTTCTTTTTCTGTTTCAAAACGGGTATCTTCAAAAATTATTTATTTTCTATTTTGGTTCCCGGATTTTTTTCAGAAACAATGGAATCACTTTTCTAGGTAAAAAAACGACTATATATATCTTCCACATTGTTGATTATATAAAGCTCTAAAAGACACGCTCTGTTTGTTAACGCCGTTTTCTGTATAATCGTTCATTTTTTTCATTTTTTTCCCATTTGATTTTTTTTTCTGAACAGTCCAATTTCGTTTATTGTTCGTTAATTTTTTTAAAGAGCGCTCTCGGTTTACAAAACGTTTTGTTTGAAATTATTTGTTCATTAATAAAGACAATGCCCATCTCTATGTTCTGCCTACCTCTGCCAGACAGAAAACAACAGAAGATAAGATAAAAACTGCAGAAAAGGTTCCATGTTCCCAAAAACATAATTAACAATGGTGCCAAGAAATCATAGAGAATAGAATATATAGAGAGGAATTAAAAGATCTCTCGGTATGAAATTTTTCAGTCCCTTTCAGCCTGAAAGGGAGTTCAAAGTGTACAAATCATGTAAATGTTCACAAATTATATGCAGTAGAGTACATTAATACAGTATGTTCCCTAGACTATTCATTTCAATTTCGAATTTTTTAAACTGTTAAATAAACTTTATTATGAATTAGGTGAATAAAAACATCATTTGATTTATAATTATAACGGAAAATCATCGTTTGTAAAGTGGAAGCCATAGAGTCTATGTGAAATGATCATTGGTCAATTATGAAACCAGCCTATTTCATAATTTGGGTTTCTTTTGACAATAATTTTAGATTTTCAATAAAATGATATTCCAGGGCCCAACAGGTTATATAGCACAAATATGTGAAGTACACCTGCAGTATGGAAACAGTACAACAAAATGGCCGTTTTACACTTTTTTCTAGTAAATTCCTCTCTATATATATATTCTATTCTCTATGCAAGAAATGCTTCTTTCATACAAAATTGAAATCATTGTATTGATATACGACTGTAAAATATAAACTAAGAAAAAAGTTAAAGATGTCATTAGCTTTCATTGAAGCAGTATTTGTTTTCTCTTTTACACAGAATTATCTTTGTGTATCTTATACAGGCGAATATTTCAATACAAGGAAGACGACTTCCAATTTCAGCTTTGATTTCAGACCAAGCTTTCAAACATAATGAATTCATATAAACACGGGAACAACTTAGTCAATTAACAACTTTTCGTTGTTATTTGTAAACTATAAAAGCTATTTAAATATTATCATGTTTAGTACAGTGAAACCCTTAATAACGAATACATCGAAAGAATTCATCAAATGTCGTATTCTTCACTTTCTGATAATGGAATGTTGCAGATATTTAGTTTTTTAATTAAATTATTATGTGGAACCCGCATATTCATGGCTATTTATTTATTTTTGCAAATACTGAAATTTACGTAATATTGTAAAAAACTTACTGAAAAATTGTCAAGACGACATTGGGTAAATTCTTACGATGCATTCATTATTAAGGGTTTCACTGTAGAATACGATATGCGAGTACCTTGCGTTATGAGAAGTTTCCTCTACTGAAATCAATAAAATGCATCTTTTTTTCTTTACAGCAAGTTAATTGATTACATGACAGCTGTATAACAGCTGGGTAATGTAAACATGCTTTAGATTATTTAAAGAATTAACAAACATGCAAACTTAATATTTGTCCATTTCTTCAAAATCCTCCATATTTGTTATATTCCTCCATCTTGTTTCTATTCGTCCAACTTGCTTCTATTCCTCGATCTTGCTTCTAATCCTTCATCTTGTTTCTATTCCATCATCTTGTTTCTATTCCTCCATCTTGTTTTTATTCCTCCATCTTGTTTCTATTCCTCCATCTTGTTCCAATTCCTCCATCTTGTTCCTATTCCTTCATCTCGTTTATATTCCTTCATTTTGTTTCTATTCCTCCATCGTGATCCTTTTCCTCCAACTTGCTTCTATTCCTCCATCTTGTTTCTATTCCTCCATCTTGTTCCTATTCCTCCATTTTGTTTCTATTCCTCCATCTTGTTCCAATTCCTTCCTCTTGTTTCTATTCCTTCATCTTGTTTCTATTCCTCCATCTTGTTTCTATTCCTCCATCTTGTTTCTATTCCTCCATTTGTTCCTATTCCTCCATCTTGTCTTCATTCCTCCATCTTGTTTCTATTCCTCCATCTTTTTTCTATTCCTCCATCTTGTTTCTATTCCTCCATCTTGTTTCTATTCCTCCATTTTGTTCCTATTCCTCCATCTTGTTTCTAATCCCCCATCTTGTTTCTAATCCTCCATCTTGTTTCTATTCCTCCATCTTGTTTCTAATCCTCCATCTTGTTCCTATTCCTCCATCTTGTTTTTATTCCACCATCTTGTTCCTATTCCTCCATCTAGTTTCTAATCCTCCATCTTGTTCCTATTCCTCCATCTTGTTTATATTCCTCCATCTTGTTTTTATTCCTCCATATTGTTTCTATTCCTCCATTTTGTTCCTATTCCTCCATCTTGTTCCTATTCCTCCATCTTGTTTCCATTCCATTAAAACATTCTTAACTGCTAGCGTACACTTTTTCGATCAACTCCTGTTTTTGTTTTAGTAGTTTTTGATATTGTGGTATTAGTAAGTAAGTAATAATAATAATAATGATA